CACATGGACCTACCCTGATGCAGCCCTAGGTGCTGGAGCAGTGTGGAGACCGCTGCCAGTGCTGAGATGCTTACACATTCACTGACTCGGCTTTCCTCCTGCAGTCAGCATCATTGCATGTGTTTTGTGAGATGGTTTGTGGATTGGTGTCGGACATATGGGTTAATGTTGGACTTGTGGGTTTGGGCAGCACTGGGTTGGGATGTTTTCTTGATGTGCACTTAACCTTTATATATAAAACTCTCTCTTATACAAGAGTTTCTGTGAACTTCTTTCTCTAAACTACCCAGACTATCACCTCAGGTCTTTCTCCAGCAGAGCTAGTTCATCGTTTTGAATACGAGCAGTCAGCTGCTTAATCATTCTGTGCTCTTTGAAGGGACTACAGCATCCAGGATAAGGAACCAAAGGTATGAGTGCATAACTCATTGCTTGACCCTCTCTCCAGACTCACCTTTCTCCAATCTGTCTTCCATTAATATATTTAGAAGTATAGTAATACAGAATTTACCGTATCCACCCATACACAAAACGTCAGAGGCTCCCCTCAGTTGCAGAGTGAAGTTCTTACTTAATCCCCATGATGGACAAGATACCTTAGGATCTGAGCCAGGTCTACCTGGCCCTTCATCTCTCGCTTCCTACCATTGCTGTAGGCCAGAAACATCATTCTGTGATGAAAACGTGCCTTTAAACAAGCTATTGCCTTTTAACACCTTTCCCCCATCAAGCTTGTGTGGTGAACTCCTATTCATCTTTAACAACCAGGTAACCGTACACCATCAAGTCCATTACAATCCATAATGACATCAGCTCAAGTGCCACTCATTAAATCATCCACCCCTCCTCTAGACACAATTGGTGACATGGAACGATTGGGGCAGTGGCTAGAGGAATCGTGGAGACAAAGGAATGAAGGGGTTAGAGACAGAATCTTTAGACAACTCAGGGTAGAAGTTTGAGAATGAATGGGGAGACAGATAAGACCATGGGTACTAAGGGCTCAATAGAAAGTAAATGTTTAGAAAATAATGATGGCAACCTATGGACAAACATGCTCGATGCAATGGATGTATGGATTGTTGTAAGAGCTGTAAGAGGCCCCAATACAATGATCTTTTAATTAAAAAAAAAAAAGATCATGGGGAAATGCTAATTGGAAGAGAAAAAGATTTTGAAACAAACTCAGAGAGAGAAGAAATGATTAGTGTTCTCGAGTAGACATTAGGATAAGGATTATAAAGCATATGTAGAATAGTTGGCCTTTGTTAAAAGAGGAAAAACAGTTGTATGAAGATCTCATCGAAGAGATTCATTTTCCTAGTGAAACTAGAGGTGAGGTCATTAACTAGGAGTGAGAGAGTTAGAGCTTGAGAATAGAATGGATTTGAAATAGACTTTGCAGGAATGTGGGGAGCGAGCTGCCAGGTGGTACTCGGGGCCTAGTTGGAGGCACTGAGTATGATGTTGTAGTTATGCCAGTCTGCCCCTTGGGGCTTGACACCAGTCATTCTCAGTGGCCTTAGGGCCCGTATGGAGAAGGCAAATAATTGGGCTCCGCTGGATTGGGATGTGCCAGAGAATTTGTGAGACAATGGTGGAGATGATGGAACACAGAAGTGATCAGATGAGGAGAACGTGGAAGACAAAAGAGCGTGGAGGAAGGGTAGAAGAACGGCCTCAGAGATGAGTGGAGATAAAAGTGGAGAGGCACGCCCACTGGAGAGCAGCTTCCTGCTTAACAACAACAAATTTTGGAAAAGCAAGAAGATTACAAATGAGATGCTAGATAGTTGTACTATTTGATTCAGAGAGGGAATGGTTCTAATCTTGGGGGGAAAGTCCAGAGCATGATAATTGATGGAAGAGACAAAAAGAACAATTCCCTGGGGGTTGGGAATCGATCATTCACATAGGCGTTGAAGTCACCCGAGTTGGCGGATGGAGTTAGCTGAAGAAAGGATCGGGATCCAGGTATCACAAGCATCAGTGAAGGAACTACAGGGACTGGGAGGTCAGGGGAAGACATCCACAAAGATACAAACACGAGGTTTTAAAAGTAGAAGTTTAACTGGAAAGTGGAAGAGTAGCGGCTCCGAATCAGAACATGAACAAGGAGGACACTAACCAGTCCTATGCCACCCGTACTGTGAGTGAGCCCCATTGTTACAGCCACAGTGTCAATCCATCTCATTGAAAGTCATTCTCTTTTTTAACTGACCCTCTACTTTGCCAAGCAGGATGTCCTTCTCCAGGGACCGATCAATACCTCCTCATAATGCATCCAAAGTGCATGAGTTGAAGTCTCACCATCGTCACTTCTAAGGATGATCCTGACTGTACTTCTTCCAAGACGGACTTGTTTGTTGTTCTGGCAGTCCATGATACAGTCAATATTCTTCACCAACTCCATAATTCAAAGGTAACCAGGCTACTTCAGTCTTCCTTATTTATATCCCAGCTTTTATATGTATATGAGTCTATTGTTGCTTTGGGCCAGGTACTCTATAGTTCTCAAAGTGACATCTTTGATTTTAAGAGGTTTTTTGTAGCATATGTATCATTGATTGCTTATCTTCTGCTTCCAGGGATGTTGATTGTTAGATAAAAAAAATTTTAATGAAATCCTTTACAACTTCAATCTTTGTTCATTTATCATATTGTTTCTTGGTGCAGTTGTCAGTGTTTTCGTTTTGTGTATGTTGAGATATAATACATACTAAGGCTATGTAGTCTTTGATCTCCAACAGTAAGTACTTCGAGCCTTCTTCACTCTCAGCAAGCAATGCTATACCATCTGCATTAACAGGATGTTAATAAGCCTTCCTCCGATCCTAATGCTGCATTCTTCTTCCTGTAATCCAGTTTCTCAGATCATTTTCTCAGAATACAGTGTGAATAAATTTGATGGAAGGATACAACCCTGACGCACGCTGTACTTTAAACCATGTTGTATCCCTTGCTCTGTTCAGATGACTGCCTCGTGAGCTACATACAGGATCTGCATGAGCACCCGTAAGTATTCTGGAATTCTCATTGTTTACAAAGTTATCCATAATTTGTTACCCCCGTAGTCATATTCTTTTGTGTAGTTAGGAAGACACAAGTAAACATCTTTCTAGTATGCTGTTTTCAACCAAGATCCATTTGACATTGGCAGTGACATTCCTTGTTCCACATGGTCTAAATCCATCGGGAATGTCTACCACTTTGCCATCTTTTTAAATTGTCTTCAGCAAAATTTAACTGTTGCATGATATTGTTCAATAATCCCTATATTATATTGGATTACCTTTCCGTCCTTCGGTTAGGTAGCTGTCTTACAAATTTCTTGATGTAGATGAGTGAGCACTTCTAGCATTGCATCTGTTTGTTGAAACATCTCAATTGGTACGCTATCAACTCCCAAAACCTTCCATTCAGCTTGGACTTCTTCCTTCAATACCATTAGTTCATGTTTATATGCTTCCTCCTCAAATGATTGCACGCTGGTGACTTCTTTTTTGTACAGGGACTGTGTACATTTCCTCTATGTTTCTTTTGTATGTGTGAAAGAAATTAGTTTTATTTCTTGTGGTAGTCACCTAATCTAGTGTCAATTTAAGGATTAAGAGTGTAGGGGTGGAGTCTAGGCTGACAATCTGGAGGTAGCCAATGAGACTTCTGTGTGGGCATGGCCTTCTGATAATTCTGGGAAATCTGGTACTTCCTCCTTCGAGGCAGAAGACACCTCTCTCTCTCTCTCTCTCTCTCTCTCTCTCTGCTACTCCTGGGAGACATTGCAGAAGACAAGCCACATGGACGCACCCAGACCTCGAAAGCCGGAGAAGCCACAGAGAGACCCCTGCCAGCGCTGAGATTTTTCCAATGACACTGGATCCAAAGACTTTCTACCCACTGACCTGTGATCTTCTGCATTTGGCATCATTGCATGTGTTTGGTGAGTCTGAAGAGGACTTTATAGATTGATATCAGAAATATGGGCTAATATCAGGCTTATGGACTTGATCTGGACTGGGCTGGGATGTGTTCTCCATGTTCAATTGCTCTTGTATATAAATCTCTTTCTTATACACGATTGTGTCCATGGATTTGTTTCTGTAGTCTACCCAGACTAACACATTTCTAGAACATGAATGCCCATTTTCTTAAAGAACAAATATTCAAAGAGTCTTTTATGCTTCTTGACCTGCTCAAAGAAACATTCAGTACTGCTCCTTGGTGCTTGAATGTTTTCTTCACTTCTTCTTCTTTTTTTTAAATCATTTTATTAGGGGCTCATACAACTCTTATCACAATCCATACACACATCAATTGTGTAAAGCGCATTTTGACATTCATTGCCCTCATCATTCTCAAAACACTTCCTCTCCACTTAAGCCCCCAGCATTAGGTCCTCATTTGAGATATGCCGGAAATGTCCTCCCACTTGGTTTCCTTACTCCGGGCTTTTTCACATTTCATTAGCTGAGACAAGTAGACCTACTAAAATAGTATTTAACTCTAATTGAAATGTGGACTCCTTAGTCTTTTCATTTTTATTTTGTTGTTGTTGAGAGTACACGAGGCAAAAGGGGACCAATTCAACAGTTTCTACATGTGCAACCCCATGGCATGGATGACATTCCTGAGTCATGCAACCAGTCTCGGCCCTCTTTTCTAAGTTGGTCTTCCCCCACTAGCATGAATTCGCTATCCCCCTGGGTCCCTATCTAATCTGTGCGTTGCTAGAGTCACTTGGATTCCACATGGATAGTTCTTAGAAGAGCATGATGCTCAGGGCAGACAGTCTTTACACATTAAGCTAAGTGGTCATTTGGTGTTAAGATGACTTCAGTAGTTATTTGGGGTTAAGGGTTTAAAAATTAACTCAGGGCAATCGTTTCTGGGTGCTGAGTCTTCTGATGGTTGTGTTTTCTACTGGGACATTCTGAATGCTGGTAATTATTACAGCACCCTTTCATTACACATCCAAAAGGGCATAAGAGACTCATCTGTACCTGTGTTTTCATCCATACACATCTGATGATTAGATCTTTGTTATGAGCTTGTCTTGGTACCATTTGCTTCTTTTTTTCCTAAAAGTGAAGCAGTAGAATGTGTTCTGGTTAATTTACTGACTTGGTTAATTCGATTGTAGCTAATTTAAGTGAGTTATACACAGAGTTTGAATTCCACACCCCTAGAAAGGATCATGATATTTGATCTAACCACTCTATCTCAGTTGAGGCACAGAAAGAATACAGTCACTAAGTCATACGCACAAATTGTCTAAGCCCTCCTTATCATTACAGAAGAAAAGATGCTGTATGTCCTTTAATTCACTGTTAAGTTTTTAAAAACTGCTCTAGCCATTTCTCCATTTCCTCTAATAAATCTCTGATTTTTGCTTAGAATTCAAATGAATGAAAAACTCCCTGGTATGGCTCCAAAAATGTAAGTCTTCACAATCAACCAAAGCATAAAAATAAAAAAAAATTTTTTTAAGGAGTTGATGGAATCGGTCCTTCCTCCTGCACTTGTAGATGGATGGTATCAGAAAACTTAATACAAGTGTACAGTCTGATAAAGTACTACTTTGAGAACTTTCATAGAATACCCATCTTCTTTTCCTTGCATTTAGATATTTATAGGGCGCTCTGGTGTCACTGAGAGTGGGTCACTAAACACAAGGTTGATGAGTCAAAGCCACCAGTCTATTCTCAGGAGGAGGAGGAGGCTGACAGCTGCTCAGAAGCCCTGTGGAGGCCACTCGGGTCTGAGTGTCGGCCATTAGACTCAACAGCAGAGGGCTAGTCTGAGTATTCTGGTGACACAAGTACTCAACTGCTAGTTGAAAGGCTGGCACTACCGGGCAGAGCGCATTGTAAGGCTGATTATAGCAGAGGTAGTTAGGTTAAAATGTAATATCTTATCACTTGATCTCCCCTTTGACCCATTTTAACGTTGTTTCCGTGTTTGTTTTTTAAATGTGAGGGGGAAATAACCTACCAGGGCAGCGGTTCTCAACCTATGAGTCATGACCCCTTTGGGGGTCGAACAACCCTTTCACAGAGGTCACCCAATCGTAACAGTAGCAAAATTATAGTTATGAAGTAGCAACAAAAATAATGTTATGGTTGGGGGGGTCACCATAACATGAGGAACTGTATTCAAGGGGTGCGGCATTAGGAAGGTTGAGCACCACTGCACCAGTGGCTCCTCTCTGAGCACAGACCAAGGATATGAATATTGCTATCATGCAGAGTGCAGTGGACAGTGGATTATTGCAAATGCGGGTAGGTTAAAATCTAACACCTTATCATTTGATCTCCCTTTTGACCCACTTTAAATTTGTTTCCGTTTCTAATATTTTCTGCTTTCTTTTTGATCGGGGATTTTCTGTTTCCCTTTGTTATAGTTATTGGGCTGATTGGTTTGTAGGTTTTTCCGTGTATGAAATCCAGGACAGGTAAACCTACAGAGACAATAACTGGACTAATGGCTTCTTAAGGATGTGGCAGGAGACATCAGGAGGAAATGGGGAGCTAATCACAATGAGTACAAGAAAGAAAATGTTCTAAAATTGATGATTGTAGAACTCATTTTAATATGATTGAACTATTGAATTCTCTGATATGAGAAATATATACCGATAAAACCCTTTTTTAAAAAAGGATGGCTACAAAATCACAGAAATCTTTATTAAAGAAAAAATATCAAAATAAGAAGCTGCTCTTTCTCAACATACCCTCTGAGTTCATTTATTGTGTCAACCTGGACGATAAACACATGTGGGGTTAATTGAAGGGCAGAGAGATAAATGGCTTGGTGAACCTCCCCTTTCGAGTTCTTGGGTCTCTTGCTTTCTGATGGTCAGATCAGGGTGCAACTGCCTTATCTAGTTCCCTGCTTCTGCTGGTATGGCTTACTTCCTGTAGGACATCCCTGAGGAGAAGCCACATGGACCTACCCTGATGCAACCCTGGGTGCTGGGGCAGCTGTGTGGAGACCCCTGCCAGCGCTGAGATGCTTACACATTCACTGACTCGGCTTTCCTCCTGCAGTCGGCATTATAGTTTTGTGAGATGGAGAAGGACTTTGTGGACTGGTGTTGGACACATGGGTTAATGTTGGACTTGTGGGCTTGGGCAGCACTGGTTTGGGATGTGTTCTTGATGTGCACCTAACCTTTATATAAAACGATCTCTTATACATGAGTTTCTCTGGATTTGTTTCTCTAAAGTCCCCAGACTAACACACCCTCCATCTATGTCGCAGACGGTATTTCTGTCTCTCTAAGTTTTCCCAAGAGGATCCTATGCTCTTCCATTTATACCACATCAAAATGCAACCTCTGGCATCAACAAGGGACTCCATAGTGTTCCTCTGAAAGGCTCTTTGAGTTCGAGGATTTAAAAAGAAAAGGGACTAAGGGGCGGGATCAGGACTGTAGAGTAGAGATAAGAAGGCTTTCCAACATTTTTTTTTTAATATATTATTAGGGGCTCATACAACTGTTATCGCAATCCATATACACATCAATTGTGTAAAGCGCATTTGTACATCATTCTCAAAACATTTTCTCTCCATTTAAACCCCCGACATTAGGTCCTCATTTTTCCCCTCCCTCCCTGCTCCCCCCTCCCGCATGAGCCCTTGATAGTTTATAAATTGGTATTTTGTCATATCTTGCCCTGTCCGTTGTCTCCCTTCACCCACTTTTCGGTTGTCTGTCCCCCAGGGAGGAGGTCACACACAGTTCCTTGTAATTGGTTCCCTCTTTCCTACCCATTCTCCCTTCACCCTCCCAGTATCGCCACTCTCACCACTGGTCCTATAGGGCTCATCCGCCCTGGATTCCCTGTATTTTCAGTTCCTATCTGTACCAGTGTACATCCTCTGGTCTAGCCAGACTTGCAAGGTCGGATTCGAGTCATGGTAGTGGGAGCGGGGAGGAAACATTTAGGAACTAGAGGAAAGTTGTATTTCTCATCGTCCAACATTTTTTTTAGGACAGCCCTCTTTGTGGCAATAACAAAATTCCTCAGCACAACTTCCCTGGCCTTGTTCTCACCAGTGCAGTTGTCGAGTTTCTGAACACTTCTTCCTATTAAGCCCCATGGTTGTGCGGTGTCCTTTGAGAAAATCTATCAAGATGGCCCCTGTGGCGTCCTCAGTACCAGTTGCCATCAGCTTCTGAGCAGCCTTCTCTACCTGGAATGTAGCTGGACCAGCAAATCCCCATGGAAGCCACTGCTTGGATTGAATCCTTTCTATTTAAGGAGCCATAACCAGACTACAACAAATGTATTCCTGAGATAAATTGTCTGCCATCCTCCACCGACTACAGAGACGTGTCTAAACACATTTTGTTTGGAATCAACCTGTGTATATATGTTCTGGTCCACTAGTAGCAATACCTTTTGATGTACCCTCATAATATTTGTAAGTAATACGAGTTTTTATATGTGTTTAAAAACCTCAAAACTTACTGCCATTGTGTTGATGCCAACTCATAGCAAGCCTACAGGACAGGGTGGAACTACCCCTGTGATTTCTGAGACTGTCACTGTTTGCAGGACTAGAAAGCTCCATCTTTCACCTTCAGAGTAGCTGGTGGTTTTGAACTGCCAACCTTGCAATTCGCAGCCCATCACTTAACCACCATGCCACCAGGGCTCCCTATATATCCACATATATGTAGCAGAGCAGGGTGGGGCACAATTATGAAAACTGTTAAACATGACCAAACACTTCATGGGGCTTAGCATTGGCCTTGAAGTCTAAGGGCCATATTCTCAGTGGACATCTAGATCAATGGCATAGCATAATTCATAAAGATAACATTCTGCATCCTAGTAAACTAGCATCTGGGAGCTTAGAAGCTTGTAAGCCACCATCTAAGATACAACTATTGATCTCTTCCCATCTGGAAAACTGGCACTTGAAAAAAGCCAAGGACTCAAGGAAGCAATTAGTCCAAACAGTCAATGACCCACAGGAGTCCCAGCATCCTCTAAATTATCACAGGAACACAATTGAAGATGCTGGTTAGCGTGAATGACAAATGTACAACAATGACCAGACTTTTGTGTTTGGCAGAGAACACTGCCTTAAGATAACCTTCTAATTTGCCATTGAGGCCACTCCTAGAGACCACCTTTTCTACAAATACTAGACCAGCCTATAAAGTAAATAGCAATACCCTGGAGAAATGTGCTCCTTAGAACAATCAGCAATAAGAGACCAAAGGGTAGAATCTGCCCAACAGCAAAACATGAGAAGGTAGAGGGGCAGGGGGACCAGATGAACGGAAACAAAATTCAGAGTGAAAATGGGACATGGGTTGACGTATTGCAGAGACCCCAACCAATGTTACAGGTAAATTTGTGTGTGAGCCACTAAATGGAAAACTAATTTACTTGTAAACTTTCACCTTGGGCATAATAATATGTTAATTTTTAAAATTACAGCCATGAAATCCTATGAAGCAGTTCTACACGTCAAGTGGAATTACGGAGTGGAAAAATGGCGCCAACAACAATGGACCTTTGTATGACTACTCACAGCCACTTCTTCTAATAATTATTGATGTATATCAAGTCTTGGGAGTGTTATTTAGGCAAAGATCTTAGATACCATGATAACTGCCAAAAGACACCTGTAGGTGCTCGCTTCAGCACCACATATACTAAGAAACCTGTAGTTCTGATCAGCTGCATTGCTTGAATTTTTTTCCCTAAAAGAACGATGGAATTGACGATGTTATATAATCAAACTAGACTATTTGTAAACTCTGTCTGTCAAATCAGTTGAGGAGAGGATTGTTGGCACCTTCCTTTTCGACTACCTGCATGTCAGAACAATGACCAGCCTACGACCCTGACAGGGTCAACCAGTCACCGTGTTGTTTACAAAGTGGTCATGTAATCCCATGAACCTCCCTCCAACTTCCCCCTCCCCACTGAAAAAAACTACAAAAGCTAAACAAAATATACAAAAATAGCAGTTTGCATTGAATGGAAACCATCTCACAGCTGGGATTTTCCAGAGAAAGAAAGCAAAGGCAGTGGAGCGCATATTCTTCCTGGTTTTC